TCCTTCCTTCCTTCCTTCCTTCCTTCCTCTCTTTCTCTCTTTCCAATAAAATGTACTGTCTTTTATGTAAAAATGAGGAATAAATACTTGAGGATATTTATGTCTAAAACCATACTTCCTAAGGTGAGCTTACCAGAGCTGTGAAAGTAGATGTGAGATAATACAAAGTTTATTGATCATTGTGAGTGGTTCTTCCTTTATCTGATAGCCAAACATAATTTTTCTACAATTCTCTTCAGTGCGTTTTTCACCTCCTGATTTCTCAAGCTATAGATCAAAGGGTTTAGCATAGGAATTACCACTACATAAAACACAGAAGCAAATTTATCCGTATTCAGAGAATGGCTTGACTTGGGCTGTAGATACATAAAAATGACGGTCCCATAAAATATTGTGATGGAGGTCAGGTGGGACGCACAGGTGGAAAAGGCTTTCTGCCTTCCTTCAGCAGAATGGATCCTCAAGATGGCAAAGAGAATGAAGCCATAAGAAATTAACACAATCGCTAGAGAGGAAAGCGTATTGAACCCAGCAATAATTAGCAGCAATAGTTCATTGACTTGGGTGTCAGAGCAAGCTAACGCAACCAGAGGAACGTCATCACAGTAGCAGTGGTTGACAACATTGTGGTCACAAAAAGACAAGTGGAACGTAGCCGCGGTTTGTAACAGACCCACAGTGAAGCTATAAACATACGTGCTGGCAATCATTCGAACACAGAGTTTCCTCGGCATGAGAATGACATAGAGCAAGGGGTTGCAGATGGCAACGTATCGATCATATGCCATGATGGAGAGCACATAGATTTCACAAACCACAAAGGTGACAATGCAACACACCTGGGTGGCACATGCATAAAATGTTATACTTTTCACTTCACGGAAAAAGTTCACTAAGGTGTTCGGGGTGACAGTTGAAGTAAAAGAAAAATTGATCAGAGCCAGATGGTTGAGAAAAAAATACATGGGGGTGTGAAGCTGAGGACTAATCTGAATTAGCACAATCAAACCCAGATTACCAATGACACTAACTAAGTAGATCACTAGGAAGATACCAAAGAGAAAGGTTTGAAGCTGTGGGTTATCTGTGAGTCCCAACAGGATGAATTCAGTCACTGCTGACTGATTGCCTTTGGCCATGGTAAGAGCCACAAACCTCTCCAGGGCAGTTCCCAGAAATTCTTACTCTGTTGGCAATGATCAAGTCCAAGTTTGAAGAAGATTCGAACTCACCAGGCAAGTCTTCATATTAATTTTACTTTCAGAATAAAGGCATTTCTTCTAGGCAGAAATTTCAAAACATGAGATTATGTGGAGAATTAAAATATATTTAGTACATGACATAGATTTTTACAAAATGGAATAATTTATTTTTTAAAAAGAAATAAATATGGAGACTTTTAAACATAATTGTGAAAATAGTTTTAAAGTTGTTGAAACATTTTAAGCAAAAATATAATGAGTTAAAATTTTAGTTGAGAGTAATGAATTTCAAATATTTAATTCATATGTGACATTTGAAAACTTTGATCTATTGACCATAAATTTACTTATTTTAAAGTTTTTCTCTCTCTCATCTATACTTTGTAGTTCCTTTTTCCTTAAAGGAGAAAAATCTCATAGTAAATATGAAAAAAAATACTTGTTGAAGCACACATGAAAACTTTAGATAAGCATTAAATCAGGAAGACATCATATTTACCATGTATCTTCCAACATCCAAAAGCAAACCAGAAGACAGATTCTAAAGTGAGTTTGTAGAGATTCATATTGGGCTTGGCTATTTGAAAGGATGTTTCTTCTAAGAAATTTTATGTGAACTCAGAGTAATTTGCCTTGCTAGTTCTTCTCAGAATATCTTTTGCCAATACTATTGATTAAGGTAGGGAGCCTAATGGTAAAACATTGAGCTATTTCGCCAACTGCGCCAGGGGAAGACAGACAATCTCCTCCTGTGTGATTTATCATCTCGGAAAACCCCCTGGAGGGTCCACTATGAGTCAGTTCTAACTCTATGACACACAACAAAAACCACACCAACATGGATTAAGGAGCCTGGTAGTAGTCTGTTATGTTTAAATCTGCTGAATGAGGAAGGCTGAGGGTTCCAATCTATGAGCTGCTCCCTTGGAAAAAATATGAGCTGTCCTCTCTGATAAAGATTCTAACCTGTGTAGTCTAGTAGAGGGTTGATATGAATAAAAAATAATAAATAGTAATTCATTGATAGAGGGTGTGGTTTCAAGTTTATTTACTACCTTCAATGAGATGGATCGATTCAGGATTCAGAGATTGGGGTAATGGGAGTGGGTGTGTCAGAAACAATGAGGTTGGTACAGGATAGAGCAGGGTTTAGGGCTCTTGGACATAGGGCCGCTATGAGTCACGAACAACTTGATGGCACATAACAACAACAACAACAACACTGGCCTAATGGTAGAGAGCTGTGCTGCCACCCAAAGGTAAGTGGTTTGAATCAATCAGATACTCCAGGGGAGAAAGATGGACAATCTCTTACTTATATGCTGATGGAAAGAACTTGTGATTTACTGCCTTTGCAAACTCACTGGACGTTCAGCTACGTGTTAGGTCCAACTCAACAGTACATAACAAACAACAAAGCATAAGATGAAACAAAATAATTCACCGATTCTCCATAGCCTTGAATCATTAACCTACTATATTCATAGCTTGTCCAAATAATCTCCTTTCAGAGAGGAATGTATTCTTTTCCCATCAACCGGAAACAACATTGCTTGGTCTTTCAATGTCCTACATCTGTATCAAAAGCTTCTTACACAAAAGCTTCTTATAGTGTCTGCTATATCTCATGTACTTACCGCTCTGAGCTCTTTGAAGGTATGAGTTTTGCTCTTGGGTTATCAAATTCCCCAATATCTTCAATTATGTTATCCTCCTTTTCTTGAAGTCCTGTGAACTTCGATAAATGTTGATAGTTGTAGAGGACTTCAAGCCTTTTGTTCACAGGGTCACTATTAGTCATGGTAGACTGGAAGGTGACTGAAAGGCAATCAAGAACAACTTGAAACAAAACTTGGTTCCCTTGAATGATGTGTCTCCAGGTCACCACCAAGATTTTTGTCAATCAATCTATGTAACTATTATTTCAAACTACTTAAAAATATAATTTTGATTTCTCTATACTCTTCCATTATTGTTGCTGTTGTTATATGCTGTCAAATCACCTGTGACTCTTGCTGACCCTATGTTCAGCAGTTCTGAACCTACCCTGTCCTGAGCTGGTCTCACTGATTCCAACACACCTACCCCCTGCGGCCCCAGTTACTGGATCAATCCCAATCTTCCTTTCCAGCACTGTCCTTCCACCTTCTGAGCATGATGTACATTTCCAAGGACTGGTTTCTCCTTGCCACATGCCCAAAGTATACGATATGGAGCTTCAAAATCCTGGCCTCTAAGGAGAAACTTGGTTTCACTCTCTCCGAGACACCTATTTGTTTTCTTGGCATCCATAATATGTTCAAGACTCTTTCCAGCACAACTCAAAAGACAGTGATTCTTCTTCTGTCATCCTTACTTATTGTCTAGCTCTCTAATGCGTAGCAAATAATTATGAAGACCATAGCCTGGATAAGGTGCACCTTAATCTCTAGACTGATATCTTTGCTTTTTAGTACTCTGGGGAGGTCCCTAATAGCAGATATTCACAATGTAATTGGTCTTTTGATTTTCTGACTGCTGGTGCCAAGAGTGTTGATTGTGGAGCCAAACAAGCTATAATTGTTAACAACCTCAACCTCTTCTCCATCTATCATGGTACAGCCAATTGGCCCATTAGGGATAACCTTTGTCTTCTTGAAATTGAGCTTCAATTCATATGTAAGACTTATAGTTCTTGAACTTCTGCAAGAAGTGCTTCAGGTCCTCCTCAGTTTCAGCAAACAAAGTTGTATCATCAGCACAATGGAGATTGTTGAAGAGACTTCTTCCAATCCTGATGCCACAATCCTCCTCATAAAGCCCTGCTTCCCAAATGATCTGTTCTGCCTATATATTGAAAAGGCATGGAGACAGAATATTCCTGACACACTCCTTTTCTGATTTTGAACTATACAGTGTTTCCCTGCTCTGTTCAAGGACTTCTTCTTGTTCCAAGTATAGGTTTTGCATAAGCACAATCAGTGCTCTGGGATTCCCATTCTCCTTAAGATTAACCACAGTTTGTTGTGATCCACAGTCAAATCCTTTTGCATAATGAATGAAACACTGATGGATATTTCTCTGGTACTCTTTGCTTTCTGCCAAGATCCATCTGACATTGGCAATAATGCCTCTAGTGCCATGACCTCTTCTAAACCATCCCCTTTCCCTTTATTTGCAGATATTATTATTTTTGTTGTGTGCCTTTGAGTCAACAGACTCATGAGTGACCCTTTCTGGCCTTTTCAGTGGCTATGAAGCAAATGAAAGGAGATTGCATACCTCTCTCCTATAGTGAAGCTTGTAGACTCGAACCATATACCTTTGTGATAACAGTGCACCCGCTTACACTAGAAATCCAGAGTTCCCTAGATGTCATAAATTCCAAAGGAAGAGACAAATTTAAAGAAACAGCATAAACATTTAAAATTCAAATTTCTAAGAGATCTACACATTAGCTTTTCTCACTTATTTGAAGAGAGGGTGTGTGATGTGGAAGTATCTTCTCTTTCTAATGTGACAAGCTATCAAAATAAAATATGGTCTAATCTTGTGCATCTTCGCAATCATTCTTATATTTGATCCCATTACTAAGTCAGTGTGTCAATTTCTCTGTTGAGTTTGCTCTTTTTTTGCTGGCCTCTTAGTATTTAAAGATAATGTCTTTCTCCAGGGACTGGTCCTTCCTAATAATACATGCAAAGCACATAAGGTTAAGTCTCACCATCCTTTCTCGCCAAAAGCATTCTGCTTATTCTTCTTACAATGCAGATTATTTTGTTCTTTTGGAAGTCAACAGTATATTCAGTATACTCACCAATACTGTAATATAAACTCTTCTTTGTTCTTCTTTGTAATTAGAGTGTTCCTTGTATGCATTGGGTGAAATATGATTTTGTATACATTGGGGATGCTGTCAGGAGGAGTCAGCCCTTAGAAAAAGACATCATGACAGAGAAAGACAAGGGTTAGTAAAGGAGAAGAGGACTAGTAAGGAAATGGATTGACATAGTGACTACAACAGTAGGCTTGATCATGGCAGAGACTGTGTGGATGGTACAGGATAGGACAATTTTCATCCTGTTTTTCATAGAGGTAGCCAACTTGGCAGCCTCTCACAGCACCTCTTCCCTATTCATTAATAAGCTATCACGTGCATATGAGGCATTTGTGAATACTAGGACTTGGGCTTTGCTGTTGTTGTTAGGTGCTGTCAAGTCCAATATGACTCATAGCAACCCCATGAACAAAAGATCTTAACTTTGTTCTATCCTGCGCCACCCTCACCCTTTCTGACACACAAGAGCCCCTTGTGGTAGTCACCAGGTAAATCCACTTGGTTGAGGGTCTTCCTCTCCTTCACCAACCCTCCATTCTTCCTAGCAACATTTCCCTCTTCAAGGAATAGGTCCTAGCAACATGCCCAAAATATATGAGACAAAGCCTCATCATTCTTGCCTTCAAAGGTCACTCCAGCTGCACCCGATACAAGACATATCTGTTTGTTCTTTTGGCCATCCTTGGCCTGCTCAGTACTCTTCTCCAACACCACAACTCAAAGGCATCAATTCTTTTTCTGTCATTCTTACTCACCGTCAATTCTCAGATGCATACAAGTGAGAAGACAGACTATGGCCTGAATCAGACTCACCTTAGTCCTCAAATTGACACCATTACTGCTCCATAATTTCAATTACAAACTCTTTTGTCTTTTTCTCCCTCTCTATTCAGCATTTCCTAACATCTATAAACAAAATATATATATTTATCTGTAAACAAAATAGAAGCAAAAAAAGTTCACCAGTGGTCTCAGATTTCTATTCATCTACCTTTACTCAAGATACTTCTCTACCCTAGATTTTCCATTCGCCTTCACCTCCTCATTACCAAAAGTCTCAGAAATGTCAACAACAAGTTAGCACCTCCTTTATAATCATAGCGCAACCTATTGTAGTGTG